TATATAGAGAGAGAGCCCAATATAGCTTTTCCTAATGCATTTAACTACACACAAAACAGATACAAGAAGTGTAAAGGGAGGAAAATAAGGAGGGTGGATGTTTTTTGTCACGGTCTTTGGGCTTTCACGTTCTTCCACACCAAACTCATCCATCCACACATTCATTTAACGGTTACGTTCCCATTATCTACTGCTTTGGCAGCATTTTCGGGCACTACAGAAAAAAAATGGGCGAGTTTGTCAAGAGGCACAGGGCATCTCACCAGTGACCAGAGCAAGGGCACATATGCAGGAGAAGGTGGCGATGTCCAGACTCATTCTGTGTAGATTGGTGGAGAACTCAACAATGCTGTCAATCCACTCGCCAAATCCCCGCAAACATTGGAGGCGGTGCCACACGGAGCCGTCACAGAATATCAATTTGCCTTCATCAGGGTTAGATCTGAGACAAAACAAAGGGTGTGCATAATCTATATATATATCTGTAAATAAATACATTTTCATGACCGCTTATATTGAGCATGCTCACGGTCACATAGGGAAGTTGCAGCCTATACTCAACGTTTTGCGTGAACAAGAGCAATCTGAACCACAGCCTTACACGGTGAATGTTTCTGTCACATCATCGCTGACAATTCATCGAGTGATTTCACGGGATAATTTACAGAAACTCGCTCTGAGTCCCAGGGAATCACACTCACGTGACACCTCTGCTGTGCTTACCTGTACGACAGACGTAAAACAAAGAGCTCCAGGAATGACGAGTAGAACAGGAGGTCTTGGTCATGCTTGGTCAGAGAGTCAAATCCCGGTATCTTCAGTGCCCATGTCTGAATCACTTCCATTGATCTGGTCAAGAGGTCGTAAAACTGAAGCACGTGCTGAGCATCATCTCCTGGAGGGCTTTCTGGACTTTCTTTGAACTCCACAAAGCCACAAGTGAAGAAGTGAGTGTTCTGTGGAATGAAAGCTCCTTCTGAGTTTAAGAATATTTCTTACTTTGCAGTAATCAAACTGTGAGGGTGAAGGGTTGGACTCCACATGCGCTCTGATGAGGGAGCTCAGCAGCGTGTTGACCGGTGAGGATGAGTCGGGAAGAACTTTATGTTTAGAGGGAAGGCGACCCCTGCGACCTTTTAGACTGTCTGTCCGCACCACTGCAGAGCAGGAGAAACACCAAAAAGATTTTGTCAAACATAATGTCACGTTACAAGAAGCTTGTGTGCAACATTACCTTCTCTGACCATTCCGACGGCAAGGCATTTCTGGAAGCGACAGTATTGGCAGCGATTCCTACGCCGTTTGTCTACGGGGCAAATCTTGGCCGCCAAACACACATACTTGGCATTTTTCTGCACTGTGCGCTGGAGGGAGATGACAATATTTTGTCACTACACGAAAGTTCTGTTGATGTGGAAACTTCGAGTGTATGGTTAATGTTTTGGTCAAGATGAAACATCACAGCAATAGTAAAGTATGTTGTCTTGAATACAAAATTCCATAAAAAGGGAGGCTAAAAGCCTCTTTGAAAATAAGCAGCAGCCTTCTTGGGTCCTGTGGGATCAGTCAGGCGCTGTATGGCATACGGTGTGTGAACTGGTCAGTCTGGGTAAATAGAGGGTCATGGGCATTCATAATTGAGCCAATTGTCCTGGGAATCTTGATCAAAGATGGAAAAGGAAGGTTTCTTATTCATAGCACGTCAATGGCAAGTTTCAATCAGGACATTTGTCCCCACTCAGGGCAAGAGGTCAAAAGCAGGCACGTGAGACAAAATCTGTCCAGCCATTTTCTGTCGCTTATCTTGAGTCTACGCCAGCTGACTTTTACTGAAGGTGAGGTACACCTGTGCTGTGACAGTCAATCGCTGCATGGACACATTCAGCCATTATCTATAATCACGCCTATGGTCAAGTCTTCAGTCAACCTAATTGGCATGCTTTTGGTGTGTGGGAGGAAGACAAAGTAACTGGAGAGAACTAAGAAACATGCTAACTTTATATAGATGGGCCAGAGCTGAGATTCAAACTCAGAACCTTGAACTTGGATGCATATGTGCACTCCACATGCCCGACCAACCAACCCAAAAAATAATTTTTCCACATGCTGGTTTTAGTTGCAGAAAATAAAGGTTGGTCCAACACTGTAAATCAACATATAATGAGCAGTTATTGAAAGTAAATTAATTATTTTTTTAAATTGCAAAAGCACTCTTCATCTCAGCCTGATATTACCAGTGACAAAGCAAAACATTATTAGTATTCCTGTTATATATTGTGACGTTATAAGTGTTTTTTAATTTTGTATTTAAAAAAAAACATTTCAGAAAAATCTGTTTTTCTATTATTTTAATGAAAAAAAAAACCTTATTATGATTATTTTTTTAATGGGTAAAATAGTTTGACAATTTACTTTATACTGTATATTTTTACAATGGCCGTCACAGTGGTCGACTGGTTAGCACGTCCTCCTCACAATGCAGAGGTGCACGGTTCGAGTGCGGCTTCGACCTTCCTGTGTGGAGTTTGCATGTTCTCTCCATTCCTGTGTGGGTTTTCTCCGGGTACTCAGGTTATCTCCCACATTCCAAAAACATGCATGGTAGGTTAATGGAACGCTTGAAATTGTCCGGACGTGTGATTGTCTGTGTGTGCGAATGGTTGTTTGTCTAAGTGTCTCCTTTGATTGGCTGGCAAACGGTTCGGGGGGGGTCTCCCCCCCCCCCCCCCCTACTGCCCAAAGACAGCTGGCATGGGCTCCAGCACACTCCGCAACCCTTGTAAGGATAAGCGGATAAGGAAATGGATGAATGGATATTTTTACAAAAAAAAAAGCAAAAACAAAACTAAAACGAAACTGATACATTTTCCTTGAACAAATTTTTTACACTTTAAAAACTTGAATTGAAATACAAAGTATGATATCTGGTACCATTAAAATCTTCATCTTTATATGACTGTTTTTATTGGAAAAATAGCGTGACATCTTTCAGCTTATTAACTCTTTTAAATGACTTTCTGATGAGAGGCCATGCTTATTTTTTTATTTGAATATACTGAACAGGGAACTAATAAGACATAAGAAGCGGTTGCGAATGGGCTCCCCGGGATGGCCTGTGGACACCCCAGCCACAGGTAAGTCGCTTTTTCAATATGATGCCTACACATAAATTCAAAATCCAAAATATACCTTGCAACCTTCACTATGAAAAATGAAAGATTCTTAATTTATGTGGCTTGCATACGCATAGCAAGTTATTTCGTAGCTAGTATCCAATGGCTACTCGTACCGAATGAAATCCAAATGATTCTTGGATACTATAAATCTAATATATCATCCCCCACCTTGAAGAATCCTTTACATCCCTCACAAGTTCGCACTCCGTAGTGCTGGCAGGCTGCGTTGTCTCCGCACACCGCACACAGTCCCTCCACGTTTGGTCGTCCTCGGCTGGGGGTGGATGTGTGAGGATTGAAGTTGTTCCTTAAATGCTGACTGTGGGCGAGCTGCACTGGGTGAAACCCCAAACATGACTGCTTTCCTAATCCAGCACAGCAAAGAAGACCGGAAGAGTCCTGTGCTTGATCCACGTCGGTGGACATGAGGAAAGGTTGATCAAATTTCATTGGACTGCCAGTGGAAAAGTTCTGATTGAATTCTTGTGCATGTTTGATGGAAAACAGTGAGAATCTGGAAAAGGTATTTTTCCTCTGTGCTGCCACCAAATAGTCTTGACGAATAAGAGAACCAGAGTCTTCCCACATTGGTGGAGTTTGAAAGTTAGGCATCATGGGTGCGCGCGAGGATGCAGATTGGTAATAGTAAACGGAACTTGTGGAGGACAGTAGATCAGCCGCCTGCAGGTGCTGACTGGGCTGAAATCGTGCTGGGCAACCACGCGCCTCCCCCATCTTGACGCATGACATGTCCCCGTGAAGCGGCATTTGGAAGAGACACTGCTGGGGTTTCACGTCGTTGCCACAACTGTAGGCTTCTCCGCCCGACGGTGAAGCTGATATTTCACTGTTTGCAAGGTCCATGCTGAACTTGACGAACTCTGGAGTGAGGAAATCACAACTCTGCTCACCGACTGCGCTCTGAGACGCCGAGCTGGCTCCTGAAGGAGAGGAGCTGCAGTGTGTCTGGACACATGGCATGGTCACTGCAATCAGATTTAAATTTAAAAACAAAAACGCAAAAAGTTTATTCAATGCATTTCCCCCTTGAACATAATTCCTTTCCTGGAATTCTGAGGAAGTGTATGGAAACACACACATTGCTGGAGAAATTTATAAATCCACTGAAACAACTTGCAGCAAATCACAGATACAAATTCAATGCTTTGTATGGTTAGTCTACAGACATATAAGTGGAGAGCATCACTTGTCATTCTTGTACCTTAAACATTAACCTTGGCTGGCGCTATGTAATCCAAAGCGGCTGTAAATCTTTTGCTGTACAGCGAGATCATGAAGTCCACTTGATGGTCTCAAATGCGGGTGACGCGATGGCTGCAGTGCAACACGTCTTCCAAGCTTGCTGTAAAACCCGAACTCGATTCCAGGGACACCGACAATGTGCTTTTGTTTACGTGATGTGTACGGGTGTGACACAACCATTACGCAGTGAGGGCGGTCTCTCTCTCTCTCTCTCACTCTCCCTCTGTCTCTCTCGCTCTCTCTCTCACTCTGTCTCTCTCTCTCTCTCTCTCTCTGTCTCTGCCTCCTTCTCTCTCTCTCTCTCTCTCTCTCTCTCTCTCTCTCTCTCTCTCTCTCTCTCTCTCTCTCTCTCTTACCCTCTTGAGGTGCCACACTTCCTTACCAGATATATCACGAAAATGCTATTTTAAAGACACATGCAAACATACAAAATACAAAGTTCTGAATATATTTCATTTTGGATTACATATACATTTTTAATACAGGTATAAAAGAACCACACTCCTCATCCAGCAAGAAGCCTAAACCTAACCCTAACCCTAACCCTAATCCATCTGGAACCCAAACCCTAACCCGAACCCGAACCATCAAACCTGAACCCTAAAGCCTAACCCTAAATTAACCCTAACACTAATTTCTAACCCCAACCCGAATCTTAAACATAACACAAACCCAAAACCGAACCTGAAACCCAGAAACTTAACCCTAATCCTACTTTAACCCCTAGGCCGAACCCTAATCTTCACCCTAACACCAAACCATAACCTACCCCTAATGCTAAACCCTAAAATGAACCCATAACCCTAATACGACCCCATCTTTTTCCATTTTCGAACATTTTTGAAAAAGCTCCCGGCAGCCACAAGACGGCACTAAAGAGCAGCATCTTAATTTATGTGGCTTGCATACGCATAGCAAGTTATTTCGTAGCTAGTATCCAATGGCTACTCGTACCGAATGAAATCCAAATGATTCTTGGATACTATAAATCTAATATATCATCCCCCACCTTGAAGAATCCTTTACATCCCTCACAAGTTCGCACTCCGTAGTGCTGGCAGGCTGCGTTGTCTCCGCACACCGCACACAGTCCCTCCACGTTTGGTCGTCCTCGGCTGGGGGTGGATGTGTGAGGATTGAAGTTGTTCCTTAAATGCTGACTGTGGGCGAGCTGCACTGGGTGAAACCCCAAACATGACTGCTTTCCTAATCCAGCACAGCAAAGAAGACCGGAAGAGTCCTGTGCTTGATCCACGTCGGTGGACATGAGGAAAGGTTGATCAAATTTCATTGGACTGCCAGTGGAAAAGTTCTGATTGAATTCTTGTGCATGTTTGATGGAAAACAGTGAGAATCTGGAAAAGGTATTTTTCCTCTGTGCTGCCACCAAATAGTCTTGACGAATAAGAGAACCAGAGTCTTCCCACATTGGTGGAGTTTGAAAGTTAGGCATCATGGGTGCGCGCGAGGATGCAGATTGGTAATAGTAAACGGAACTTGTGGAGGACAGTAGATCAGCCGCCTGCAGGTGCTGACTGGGCTGAAATCGTGCTGGGCAACCACGCGCCTCCCCCATCTTGACGCATGACATGTCCCCGTGAAGCGGCATTTGGAAGAGACACTGCTGGGGTTTCACGTCGTTGCCACAACTGTAGGCTTCTCCGCCCGACGGTGAAGCTGATATTTCACTGTTTGCAAGGTCCATGCTGAACTTGACGAACTCTGGAGTGAGGAAATCACAACTCTGCTCACCGACTGCGCTCTGAGACGCCGAGCTGGCTCCTGAAGGAGAGGAGCTGCAGTGTGTCTGGACACATGGCATGGTCACTGCAATCAGATTTAAATTTAAAAACAAAAACGCAAAAAGTTTATTAAATGCATTTCCCCCTTGAACATAATTCCTTTCCTGGAATTCTGAGGAAGTGTATGGAAACACACACATTGCTGGAGAAATTTATAAATCCACTGAAACAACTTGCAGCAAATCACAGATACAAATTCAATGCTTTGTATGGTTAGTCTACAGACATATAAGTGGAGAGCATCACTTGTCATTCTTGTACCTTAAACATTAACCTTGGCTGGCGCTATGTAATCCAAAGCGGCTGTAAATCTTTTGCTGTACAGCGAGATCATGAAGTCCACTTGATGGTCTCAAATGCGGGTGACGCGATGGCTGCAGTGCAACACGTCTTCCAAGCTTGCTGTAAAACCCGAACTCGATTCCAGGGACACCGACAATGTGCTTTTGTTTACGTGATGTGTACGGGTGTGACACAACCATTACGCAGTGAGGGCGGTCTCTCTCTCTCTCTCTCACTCTCCCTCTGTCTCTCTCGCTCTCTCTCTCACTCTGTCTCTCTCTCTCTCTCTCTCTCTGTCTCTGCCTCCTTCTCTATCTCTCTCTCTCTCTCTCTCTCTCTCTCCTCTTCCAAGCTTGCTGTAAAACCCGAACTCGATTCCAGGGACACCGACAATGTGCTTTTGTTTACGTGATGTGTACGGGTGTGACACAACCATTACGCAGTGAGGGCGGTCTCTCTCTCTCTCTCTCACTCTCCCTCTGTCTCTCTCGCTCTCTCTCTCACTCTGTCTCTCTCTCTCTCTGTCTCCTTCTCTCTCTCTCTCTCTCTCTCTCTCTCTTACCCTCTTGAGGTGCCACACTTCCTTACCAGATATATCACGAAAATGCTATTTTAAAGACACATGAACATACAAAAAATACAAAGTTCTGAATATATTTCATTTTGGATTACATATACATTTTTAATACAGGTATAAAAGAACCACACTCCTCATCCAGCAAGAAGCCTAAACCTAACCCTAACCCTAACCCTAATCCATCTGGAACCCAAACCCTAACCCGAACCCGAACCATCAAACCTGAACCCTAAAGCCTAACCCTAAATTAACCCTAACACTAATTTCTAACCCCAACCCGAATCTTAAACATAACACAAACCCAAAACCGAACCTGAAACCCAGAAACTTAACCCTAATCCTACTTTAACCCCTAGGCCGAACCCTAATCTTCACCCTAACACCAAACCATAACCTACCCCTAATGCTAAACCCTAAAATGAACCCATAACCCTAATACGACCCCATCTTTTTCCATTTTCGAACATTTTTGAAAAAGCTCCCGGCAGCCACAAGACGGCACTAAAGAGCAGCATGCGGCTGTGGAGCCGGTTGCCGACCCCCGGCCTAACCCTAACCCTAGACCGACCCTAACCCTATCTCCACCCCTCTCTTCTAACACCTAACCCTAACCCTAAAATAACCCTAATCCTTAACCGTAACCCTAAAATTAACCCCAACTCTAACCCTCAAATCCTAACTCTAACCCCTAACACTAACCATCAAACCTTAACCCGAGTACTAACCCTAACCAAACCCTTACCTTCAATTCTTAACCACAACATTGACCGTAATCTAACCCTTACCCAAACGCAAACCCGTAACGCTAATCCCAACCATAACCCCAAACCCTAGTTTTAACCATAACCAAACCTTAACCCCGAACCCTAACCCTAGTTTTAACCCTAACCAAACCTTAACCCCGAACCCTAACTCTTACCCTAACCCCAAATTCCTAACCCTACCTTAATGCAAGCAAAGTACAGTATAGCACGGTGCTGGAGTTGATATTTTGAGCGTCATCTGGCGAAAGACGACAGCTGGTAGCATTTCTCTCCTTTATTATTATCCCGAAGAAGGACGCTGAGGGAGTTGTGCAAAGCTCCGCTCCGGTTGCGTCACGTGATGGGAGGGTAATCTTTCTTGAATTTTGATTGGACAAGAACGTCAGACGCGCGTACTCTGATTGGTTTATCCGCGCGTCACTCGAGCGTTGTTCCACTTCCTGGTAGTTGCTGTCAAACTCAGCGACTAGACAGGCTCGGGAAAACGACGGATGCTTCGGTCGCCGCCCTGCATCGCCCTGAGCAACTGTGTGTCAACGACGAAAGAAGGCATTCTGTAAGTGGAAACCGTTTCACTTTTTTTTGTAATTTGTAAAAGAAATTATTTTTCAGCCTGTTTATTGTCCGTACGTCAAAAGGCATCGCACAGTTTGAGGCGTGCAACCCAGTACTGTTACAACATTTGGCTTGTTGTTATTACGTGTGAACAAACAACCTTTAAACTAAAAGCTACCGCAGTAACCACAACAGTGACGGTTCTGTTCTTGTCAGTGCGTATGACAAGTTTTTTACCCCCTTTTCGTTATAATACCATTCTATTCGTCAGTGCTGGTCTCCCTCAGAGATCAAACTGGTCGGCATTTTAATCCACAGCAAGACGTCCCGGCCCTCAATGTCAGAGAGTTCTCAACACAGTCACATGTTTTACATTACATCCAGGAACCCCCCTTTGATGCTGACTCATAATGAATGTATAGGCTGATGTAAAAAGAGGAGGCGGTTTCAGCATTGGCCCCCAGCTCAGTGACTTAAGTACAAGTGTGGATGAGCCAGCTCATCCAGCATGTTCGTGCTCCCTGGGGCCTCATGACTGTCATTATTTGCCATTACAGTAAAGCCTTCAAAATGAATGGTTGTTTGTCTATGTGTGCCCTACGATTGGCTGGCACATAGTTCAGGGTGTACCCCGTCAACTGCCCGTAGACAGCTGGGATAAACTCCAGCACGCCTGCAACCCTTGCGAGGATAACCGGATCAGATAATGGATGGATGAATCAGAAATAAGAAAGCTCATCCAATGAGCGAAGCCATTATTAATACAGGGCATCCCGAGAAAATAAAGCACTAAAAGCAACCCTCCCTACTCAAAAGAGAGACCCTAACCTGAAGACAAGTTTTGGGTAAGGGCTTAACCAAAGACTTCATAAAACAGAAATAATTGTATACATTATCCTACTATTCAGTTATAGTCACCTACATGACTTTGACTGTGTTTTGGGGAAACACATAACACGAGTGCAAACAATATATTCTAACACATTTTCATTATTATTGTTAAAACATAGAACACCAGTATTAGTCATCTTTGCCTCTTGGGATCCTCCTTACTCCACGTGAGCCTGGCACACCTTCTCCATACTCTCCTCTGTCCCGTCGACGTCTCATAGCACGTTGCTCTTTCCACAGGCAATATGGCGTTCAGGGAAGCCATCAAAAGGACAGCTATTATAGGCGGCGGGGCCGTTGCCACCGTTCTTGGTCTGTCACAGTTCATAGAGTATCGGAAGAAGCAGGTAAGTTGCAAATGAACATTGTTGTTAAATTTCTGCTGTGAACAGTCTCCCAAGGCATGTTGTATCAGGATTTTGGAATGTCTTTGATACCTTAAGGATATACAGTACCTGATATATTTCCAGATGGTGTGCACAAAGCAGCTTTCGCTTAAAATATGGCTATATTGTGTTTACTCAATATTCCCTGATTGAAATTTAAAGTAACTGTAAAACCTGTTTGAGTTATTTGAGGTGTGGCTAAATAGGCGGCCCATTGCTCGCAGGCCGCCTTCATGTGGTGCTAATGTCACTGACTTACCAATAAATCACCTTCCATGTCTTTTATTCGCATTGTGTGTGCTTACGTTGTGAAGAATTAAGGACAGCCTGCTCGTCCACTTATTGTGATGAATCCACTACTGTTGAACCTCAGGTTACGAATGACATGTTTAATAAACAAATTGGCTTGTACGCAACATTTTCAAAGAAAAACAACCTCGATTTGCCCACAATTTTCATGTTGCGAACCATTTTGGTATGGACGCACTGAAGGATCGTTTGTGATTGGCTCTGTGCATCGAGTGTTATGAGTAAGGTATCATTGTTTTTTGTTCTTTTTTTTTTAATCTCAATTAGCCCTCAGAATGGCTCAGAGGAAATGGGTAACTGCTCACAATAGTGCTAGGAAGCTCATGACATGGATGAGTGGAAGTGCTGCGTGTCACATGCTTAGCAAGTACAGTACTACTGGTATATCTTTTTTTTTTTCCATAATTAGCCCACAAAATGACTCCTAAGAAAAGGAAAACTGCTGTAAATAATGTTATTAGGTAGCCAATTACGGTAATAGTTAAAAAAAAAAGTAGTCATTGCTAAACTTGTTGGGCACATTTGCAAAATGTACCATCTCAACTATTTTATGATTGATAATGAATCATATTTCTATCACACATTTCAAAATCAAGATGCTTCACACACAAAAAAAAGAAAATTCTAAAAAAAAAAAAAAAAAAAAAAAACAATAAAGAAAGAAAGAAAGAAACCTAGCGGCACAGCGGTCGACTAGTTAGCACCTAGGCCTCACAGTGCAAAGGTGCAGAGTTGGATTCTGGCTACGGCTTTCCTGTGTGAGGTGCATGTTCTCCCTGTGCCTGCGTGGGTTTTTGCCGGGTACTCCGGTTTCCTCCCACATTCCAAAAACATGCATCGTAGGTTAATTGAACACTCTAAATTATCCTTCGGTCTGACTCTGAGTGTGAATGGTTGTTTGTCTATGTGTGTGCCCTCTGATTGGCTGGCAACCGGTTCAAGGGTGACCCTCGCCTACTGCCCGAAGACAGCTGGAATAGGCTCCATCACACCCCGCGACCCTTGTGAGGATGAGCGGATTCGAAAATAGATGGATGCAGATGGGGCAGAGCGAATTCCCCGAGTCCACAGCTCTCCCTGTGTTAGCTAGCCTGAAGATAGTGATGACTACCTCGCCACAGCGAGCTAGCAAGCCTCGAGAAGGCCAGTGAGCATTAACCACAGCACCAGTGGTGAAAGTCTGCCCTTAAATCCACTTCCTTTTCTTGCATTTCATTGCGCTGTCTATTACTGTTGAATGACACAGCATTGTTCACATTCACCATAGATACTGCTGGACCACAATTCATAGGACATTTTGGGCCAGAACATAAACAGTGCTAATGTAAGATAAAGTCAAAGATGTTTCTTAATTAATGCCCTGTTTTTAAATTCATATTAGAGTGGGTGTCAGTTCACTTATTTCTATATTCTATTCTATTTATTCTAACTACACGTTGCTCAAAATAAGGTAAGTAAACCTTGATTTTGTGGCTGCAACAGAATAATTGGGTTGCCAGTCTTTTCAATACCTTAGTAAACTGAGTTACCACTGTACATGCTTGATTTCATTTGTCATTTTCACCTTTGTCCATTATATACATTTTGACTTCATGAGCCCATCTTGTGTATGAATTTCTAAAATGCTGTCAAAGCAGCCTGGTGTTGTATAAATAAACATGCCCTCCCTTCCATGAAGTGGGACTGAGTCGTCATAGGGGCAACCTTGTGGATCGTTCCGAATCGACAACACTTTTAGCTATAGTGTCCAGCCTTGACACTTTTGTCATCTTCATTTGAGAACGACGAGCAGCTGTGTTTCTCCTGACCTTTGACCTGGCATTGACCTATATGTGAACACCCACAAAGATACATACCAGCTTTTATTTAACTGTGCCTGCTAATGTGAACTTTGTTTGTGTCCCGTTGCAATAATGTCTTCTCATGCCTGTTGCCGCCCACCCAACCAAGAATGGATTGGTAAGCAAGAAGCCAATGTTGATGAAATCTAATCATTTCCACAATAGTTTGTAATCATGCATGCCTCTAATCCCAGTAATTCTAATCCCTAGCATTTAGCTCTATGGTGGTATTTTTCCATTTATCATCACAGAGAGACAATGATTTGCAAGTCAAATGCTGCATGTGCTCTCAAGCAGCTTGATGCAATCATTAAGATGGAGCAAGAAAAAAAAAAAGAATAAATATTTCATTAGAGGTGAACTGGCACGTCCTGGTGTCAGGGGGATTGTTGTTGTGATTATGACTTCAAATCATTCCCTAATCAAATGCAGGACATTGTTGACTGCAATCCTTTGTGTTGTGGGCTTTGCAAAGATAAGTAGTATGTTGCAGCAGGTTCGTACCATCCGCCAAGCCCCGACCTCACAGTGCACGCTCTTACTTTGAAACTCATTACGTAAATCAAGAAGAAAGTCTGGATTTTCAACAGTTACTTCAGTTGAAAACCATGAGGAGATCACAAGCACACAATTGCCACTTTGCAGCGACATACCAATGTAAAGTTTTCTTGACATGCCCCGCCCGCCTTGGAGGAAGAAAACATTTCAAACCCCCCCCCCACCATATGTGCAGCCCTCAACCCTATCGTAAAAAAAAAAAAATCACCTCACATCTGCTGTGTGTTACTTTATGATGCAAGTATATATGAGTATGGAAAAGTACAGCAACATGTTGACTCTGAGTCATGCATAATGAAATCTGCTGCAATAATGGACACATTTTAGTGGGACACGTCATGAGTACCCATTACTCATGAAGATTTTATGTTAAAGTATTGCGTTTTGTGTTTATTATATGACGTAATGAATGAATGAATGTCGTTGAGATGTGTATTCTTGAACTCGCACGGTAGGCTGTGCGCCTCCTTATCATATCCTCATGTTCCACCAGGGTGGTGCGGCATGCAATTTGAGTCCTAAATTAATCTCCTTATCTTGGATAGCAAGTAGAAGTAAGAGCTTTGCTTTTGTCTTGCATAATGTTAATTATAATAGCATGAATCAGTTCACTGGATGGCAAATAAATGCACCTCTAACTTTGGTGTTTGTAGTGTCTTTCTAATGTTCATACACCTCAAGCAAAATCTTGCCACAATACCAGACATTTCCAAACAGAATTACCAAAAACATCCCTTCAGACATGAAAAGCATCAAATCAAAACCAGAGTGTGGAATAATTTCCCCGCTTGTCTGTGTCATATCCAGGCTCGGTTAGCTCACGTGGCGGCAGAAGCAGAGCTGAGGGTTCCCTTTGCAGACGAGCTTCCCTCAAGACAGGCCCAGCTTGCCACACTCAAAAGCAAAGAATTTGATATCCTGGTAATTGGAGGCGGAGCCACAGGTGTAGGCTGTGCCTTAGACGCTGTCACACGCAGTAAGACCCCTCAGCACATCTAGCACAATATTGGAATGATTATATTGAGCATTGTTCTCTGGTGTTGATAGATCTTAACACTGCTCTCGTCGAGAGGAACGACTTCTCTTCCGGGACGAGCAGCCGTAGCACCAAACTCATTCACGGTGGAGTTCGCTACCTCCAGAAGGCTATTATGAAACTGGACTATGAGCAGGTTTCAAGTGCACCTCGTCACTTTTCCTTGTTTGGTTTTGCATAGTTTTCATGATTCTTTTTCTCCTGCAACAGTACATGATGGTGAAAGAAGCCCTCCACGAGCGAGCCAATCTCCTCGAGGTTGCACCTCACCTGTCAGCGCCACTCCCCATCATGCTGCCTGTTTACAAGTAGGTCACACAGGCCACATTGCACAAGACTGTTAACTGCCATTCACCAACTGCTGATCAGCGAGTATTTAAAAAAAAAAAAAAAAAACTTTATTAATGACCGAGCCCATCACCAGATGGCGGAATCTATCTATCTATCTATCTATCTATCTATCCATCCATCCATCCATCCATCCATCCAGATAGATAGATAGATAGACATGTCTATATAAACCATCCATCCATCCATCCAGATAGATAGATAGATAGATAGACATGTCTATATAAATATTATTATGATTTACAAGCAGTATAGAAGTTGAACAGGTGCTTCTACATTTACCAGCATATGTTTTACACCAGGGGCCCCAACCTTTTTTGCCCGACGGACCGGTTTATGTCAGACAATATTTTCAGGGACCGGCATTTAAGGTGTGGTGGAAATAATACAAGAAATTAATATGGTCTGAGCTGCATGAAAACTGTGGTGTTTTTGAAATATAATAATAAACACAAGGAGCGTCTAATCTGGCCGCAACACTCCGATCGCTATGGCAATGTTTAATGCCTTCAAAATACGATACAACGCAAATTCAAAGTGCATGAAAATGACGACTCACCACAGCACCGAGCTTGATTTTCTGCAACCAGACGGTCCCATCTCGGGGTAAAAGGAGACAATGACACCTCAAGTGTGTGGTTTATGTCCAGTCTACTTCGTAATTTTGTTTTCGTCGCCGTTGCTGCAGAAACCCCCCGCCTCACACAGGTAAGATGTCGGAAATAGCAACAGTGCTATTGTGGCGATCTCAGAGTATTCAGCCATAACTTTAATCCAGTTGTCTCGAACGTACTTTTAAGGCCGCCGTGATTTGCGATCTCCAGCAGTATTTTTACTCATTTTGCGAGCTTCTGCGTTTTGTTTTGAAGTAATCGGTCACGTGATGGAGAAGCGTGGCTTGACGTGTGTCAAGCGTGACACAGACGGATGTAACGGAGAATCCGGTAGTTTTTCAAAATAAAACCTCTTTTGCATTCCGAAATAAAACTGAATTCAGGCAAGTTCTTTCTGTGCGGCCCGGTACCAAATGCCCGGCGGACCGGTACCGGTCCACGGACCGGCGGTTGGGGACCCCTGTTTTACACAAATGATGTCACAATGTAAGTACTTTTACTGCCTCTGTCAATTTTTAAACTCTCATATACAGTGGAACCTCCAAAGTTGAACATAAACTATTACTATTTTAACAACCACTTGTAGTTGATTATTGTTTAAATGTGTGGTTCATGTAGTTTCCCCATTGTTTCCATCGGTTGTCCTAGATGGTGGCAGCTTCCGTATTACTGGGCAGGCATTAAGATGTACGACCTGGTGGCTGGCATCCAGTGTTTAAAAAGCAGTTACGTTCTCAGTAAGACCAAAGCCCTGGAGTTCTTTCCCATGCTAAAGAAGGACAAGCTGGTGGGAGCCATTGTTTATTATGATGGTAAGTGTCGGATATTTTCTTGTTGATTCTTCACCTTCTTTTTGGTAAACGCACAGCATTTTGACCTTCATCTCTTCCACGGAAATGTATTTAAATAAATACAGTTACAAATGCAACGGGAAAATCACTGCTGAAACTAAAATAATTAAAATGGCTTTGAGTCACCAAAATCAATTCCAGTCCCCACCAAGCATAGTGACAGGCTGCATTGATGCCATTACTGCGATAGCATGAAGATTGTTGGTCTCACTATTGGGTTTTTATGGACTCAGTTGTGCCGTGTGTGAGATTCTTGTGTCTTCAGGGATAATCCTCCAAAACCTATTAAAACTACACATTTGTACGATGATGTGAAAAATGTCCAATGTGCCGTGTCTTATTTGAAACAAACTGCTGGTGGAACTTGACAACAACCTGTGTGTGTGCTCGTTCGCTGCACACTGAGAAATGCTGCAAAGCACTGCGCCTACATTTCTGTTCTACATTCCGCCAGCATCTTTCGCTGCCAGGCAGCAGGAGTGGAAGATGTTTTGCGAGTGATGCATCGTATTTTTTTTTTTTCTCAATTTATGCCATCTGGTACCATCACGCTTGTGACATTTCCAAGTCTGACCTTCTTTCCGGTGATGCGGAGCTGCAGAAGAGCACTACAATTGGTCGGACTGTCGAAGCAACAAATGTCTTCTGCCTCTCGGCTGTCTTATTCACTGTAAACAACTAATTTGCTTTTGCCCTTACATTTTATGTAGCTAGGTGATAAGATTTATAATCCACCATTTGTCATATACCATGCTTATTTTGGATGCTTCAAACTTGCCCCACTGTCGCCCTACAGGGCAACACAATGATGCCCGTATGAACCTAGCCATCGGTCTCACGGCTGCCCGCTACGGTGCTGCCATGGCCAACTACACTGAGGTGGTTCACCTTCTGAAGAAAAAGGACCCGCTGACTGGCAGTGACAAGGTTTGCGGAGCACATTGCCGGGACGTGCTCACAGGTGGGAAAAGATTGCCACATGTGAAGAAGAGAACCATTCTGCTGTTGATCATATGACATCAGTCACCGATTACCTGTTAAAGGAGAGGAATTCAATATCAAAGCCAAATGTGTAATCAATGCCACCGGGCCCTTCACGGACTCAGTGAGGAAGATGGATTGCCAGGAAACCCAAAACATCTGCCAGCCCAGCGCCGGCGTGCACATCGTCATCCCCGGCTACTACAGGTGTGTTACATGATATGCGCAATGTGATACACTGAAATAGTTTTTCAACTCATCGGACTGCTGTTTTTGATCTTCAGTACAGTAGTCGTGTTTTTGACAGCAGATAAAAGGGTAAAAAAAAATAGCTCCCATGTAAATGTAAAAGCAAACAAACAAACATCCAGTGAGCGGTGCTTTTTGTTGCTTGCTATTGTGTCATCAGCCTAAAATGTGTGTGGGACCTCAGGCTATGGTGGAAGAATGGGCCAAAGAACATTGACAAAAGCATTAAGATAATACATTTCTAGGTACCTCTGATCCTTGATCTTCATGACTCATTCGGCTTTATACGATCTAAATTATTGCTGTAGGTGCAGCATTCTTTATCTCAATCACCAGGAAACAATGATATTTGATCATGTTTCTGATTTTTGTCTCTCAGCCCTGACAACATGGGACTGTTGGATCCCGCCACAAGTGATGGCCGGGTCATCTTCTTCCTGCCTTGGGAGAAGATGACCATTGCTGGAACCACAGACACTCCCACCAATGTGACAGCTCACCCCATCCCTGGGGAGGACGACATCAACTTCATCCTGAGGGAGGTCCGCAACTATCTCAGCCCCGACGTGGAAGGTAGGAATGAGGGCTCGGTCAGAGGCAAGAGAGTATCAAACTGAATTTAAATGAGACATTTTTTGTTCCTTGCAGTGAGACGAGGTGACGTCTTGGCAGCATGGAGTGGAATCCGTCCCCTGGTGACGGACCCCAACTCCAAAGACACTCAGTCCATCTGCCGTAACCACATTGTCAGCATCAGTGACAGCGGACTGGTCACCATTGCAGGTCAGCTTGTTTTTGCTTGAAATACTGAGCAGTTCATTTGTCCGGTTTGATTTCAGCAGTTGTGTCTGCAGGTGGCAAGTGGACCACCTATAGATCCATGGCTGAAGAGACTCTGGACGCCGCCATTAAAACACATGGCCTCCCAGCTGAGAAATGCAAGACTGTGGGCCTGATGTTAGAGGGTTCCAAGGGCTGGACGCCAACACTTTACATCCGTCTGGTGCAAGACTACGGCTTGGAGCAGGAAGTAGGGCACATTTGTTTGTTCCTACGTTAATTACAAATGCTTACGTGTACATGTGGTGCCCCTCTAAAATGTTGAATTGCTTCCATTTACCAGTAGTAGTACCACAGAACCCAAACATTATCAGACACATCGTCTTGGTGAGAAATTTAGAAGCAGTCGTCTTATGACTTATTGACTGCTTGCACCTTGAAGTGGACCTATTGGCATTAATGTTGACGACATTTCCGCTCCACTAAAGATTTGACACATGAAGAGCCTGTATGCTAAACAGTTCATTAGCATTCAGTCCATCGGATCCATTGATTCACATCAGCTACATGTGCAGCCACTATCCTCCCATTAAATTGAGTAGAACATTGTTTCAGTCGAGGAAAGTGCTCTTGCAGTCCACTTACTCCTTATTAAAGGTGCTTGCAGCCGGTGCCGAACATTTTTCAAAGGTCAGTGCTGATATTTGGACAGTGTTTGCCCTTTTGCATGACGGGTAAGCCAACGATCTGAATAGCAAAAAGCTGTTGCGTATTCTATAAACGAGACATCTCGACAACATGGTGCCCCCCACACCCCACACCCCCAAAAATCCATCATTCTTGTCTGCAACTGTAAAAGTTAATTACATTTGCAAATCGGACCTTCTGTGTGTGCTCAGGTGGCACAGCATTTGGCCTCTACGTATGGAGGGAAGGCATATGACGTGGCCAAGATGGCGCTGGTCACAGGGCAAAGGTGGCCGATAGTTGGGAAAAGGCTGGTGTCGGAGTTTCCATACATTGAGGCTGAGGTGAAGTATGATGGCGTGCAAATGTTCACCTTCTGATCATCCCTCTGCTCCCGAAATTCTTGTGATATGAACGTGCCATCTCTCGCAGGTGCTGTATGCTATGAAGGAGTACGCCTGCACCGCCATTGACCTCATTGCCCGGCGAACGCGCTTGGGCTTCCTGAATGTGCAGGCAGCCGACGAAGCCCTCCCACGCATTGTGCAGATCATGGCCAAGGAGTTGGGCTGGAGCCAGGAGCGCAAAACGGTCCAAAAACCAGCAAATATTTTCCTTTGAAAAATGTTTTGAGTCCCCACTTGGTTTTTCTATCAGAACACAATAGGGAAGTCCACACCCATTTATCCTCTTTCGACACTGTTACAATGCACGTGTAAACTGAGCCTTTATTGTCAACCAAGGGAGGAAACTCATTCAGCAGTGAAAAAAAACAATAAAAGATCTCAACATGACGGTGATTCTGTTCATATTGTACTTTCTGAAATCTAGGCCGAGCTGGAAGCAGCCAAGAAGTTCTTGTACCATGAGATGGGCTACAGATCTCGCTCCGAGCAGTTGACCAAGACCTCGGAAATGACCCTGGACAACCAGGAAGTAGCCAGGTAAAAGCACTTAGTGGCCAAAGGTCTGCCATAAACTCTGACTCAGACATTAAGAAGTAATGCGGTCAACTTAAATGTGGTTGGCAGATACAAGAAGCGCTTTCATAAGTTTGACAAAGAGCGCAAAGGTTTCATCACCACAGTTGATGTCCAGCAAGTCCTTGATGTGAGTTGTCACTTCCCTGATGATCATTTTTCTTCTTCACCGTTCCTGAATCAAGATTCCAACCTGTGTTCCTCTCTACAGAGTATCAATGTGCACATTGATGAGAACGCCCTGCATGAAATTCTTAACGAGGTGGACGTCAACAAGAATGGACAGATTGAAATCGATGAATTCCTTCAGGTATGTAATGGCCCGTGATTGTGCTTGCAGGAATGTACACTGTATTCATTTTACCCCAAACTACGACAATCTGTCATTTTCTGTGAAGTTGCATTCCATGCTCCTCTTTGGGGCAGAGAACATGAAAAAGAGAGCGATGGGGATTTGTGTGCTTGAGACTTGCTGCACACAGCAGGTGTGAACTCTCCTCACCTTTGAAGCTAATTAGGACAGTGAATGTGCGACAGGTATAATGAGGGCTCCTGCCTCTATCTGTTGCTATATTATTTTCTCACTTTGCTTTGAGGTGAGAAGAGAGATTCATTATGAGGGAGGATGATGACAGTTGGTGCTTTTGTCTTCATTAGCATGAGCTGCTCTTGAGCACATATCCGGTCAGACTCTCCAGGGGACAGCAGTATTTTGTCATGATGTTTTCCCTTTTTGGAAAAAAAAAGGCTTTTATTTATTTATTTTTTGTAAATCCTGTTCCTAAATGCCAGTGTTTGTTTTTGCTCATGTGTCCATCCTGCTCATGGCCGATTTAGAGACTGCAAACAGGTAGTGTATGCAAAGTACTGTTGGACATGAAATTAGTGATACACTCACCTGACTTGTGCGCGGGCAGCATGGGATCGGTTCCCACTCAGTGACAGTGTGGATGTGAGTGTGAATGTTTGTTTGTCTCTTTATGTGCCCTGTAACTGACTGCAGACCAGTTCAGGTATCAGGGTGTAGTTCTCTTTGCGTCTGTAGTTAGCTGGGATAGGCTCCAGCACCCTCCCACCCTCTGGGACATTTTTCAGGATAAATGGTGTTGAAAATGGATGGATGGATGGATGGATGGATGGATGGATGGATGGATGGATGGATGGATGAATACACCTTCATCAACTTTTAACCCTGGTGTCTAATATGGATGGAGGGAAAGAACTCACTAGAAATGTATCTGTGATGTTTTAAAGCTGCACTGGGCATGGCGTCAACAATACAGCTGCTGTAAAATTGTAAAACTGTCAGAACAAAAAAAATGTTGGAAAAAGGGAAGACTGAGTGAGACCAAAGAGATTTCAAACATTTTTGAAAATTATAGCTGAAAACATGCAAAGGCTGAGAACGCTCTCGTACTCACTTGTGGAGCTATAGTGTAAAACTGGTTTTCACCATTTTTTTCCCCGTTTGATTGGCAGTGAATGGCGCCGTGTCAAACATGTTGGAGTTCGGCATGAGTCCCTGCTCCTCCACGATATTAGAACTTTCGCGCCTTCAATTGCATCAGCGGATATCTGGTGTATTTGCAACGAGCAGTTACCTGGCTCCATCCTAAATATGCATATTGCCTTGGGATATTCCGCTGGCGTGGCCGCTTTACAGAGCCTCGTTGTCAGCCGTGAGTGTGCGCATGTCACAGAGAAGGTGGAAGCGTCAGGTCGGGGGAGCCAAACGTGGACAGGAGCTTTGCACTGCCATGGCCGCTTTAGAGCACCTTGTTGTCATGTTGTGGTAAACCCCATGACGACCTGGTGGGTGATTTTCCAGCCACCGCAGGCATTAAGCATGATATAGTCTCAAATGTAAATTCTGTGTAGCCATAAGAAAGATGTAAGATGACATTTTTATTTCAAACCTCATTTTATGTACAGGTACTTAACATTTTCTAAAATCGCTTCAAAATAACAGACCAACTATTTTAGCGATCAATTGGTTCAGAACAAGGCATGAGAATGCAGACACAGGTGACATATTTGAGGTGGTTGTAATGGCTTCGCGTTGTACCCAGTTCACCTTTAACACATGAGGAAGAACAACCAAGGCGGCAGGTGTTGGGTTCATTGAAGCATGTGAAGGTGGTCGGACCGCTCTCGCATGCACCGTGTATCGATCGGATATTTTCCCTCTGGTGTCACCTGTGTTTACTCACATTCTTCATCATGTGTCATTTGCCAATTAGTTGATGAGTGCCGTCAAGAAGGGCCAAGTGTCCGACAGTCGCTTGGCTATCTTGATGAAGTCAGCCGAAGAAACGCTTGATATGAGGGGCCCGGTGACGGTGGACCGAAGCGGAGGAGGAGTCTGAGCCCAGCCTTGCACCAAGGTTTCCTGTCACAGACCTCATTTGAATGACAATGCAATCAGGGAGGCGACGGCGGGTATTTGGCCAAATCAACAGCAAATAGGTGCCGCTCCTGACTGTGTTTTGGGCTGAAATACAATCCAATGATTGAGGTTTGTTTTCCTGAGCCGCCTGTTTGTCTGCGTGTTGATTGGCTCTCAGCATCAGGAGCCTCCAATTTTCCACGGTGCGCAATGTGACTATTTATAGAAACGTTTTTTTTCATCAAATATTTGATATTTCTACCTACATATCTATTGAACACTCCTTTTTTTAAACTCAACACTGATTGTTGCATAAGCTCTTCTCATCTTATCGGAATGGAATCTCGTGCTTTATTCTAGCGTCCCACAATGTTTTTTTTTTTTTTTTTAATTCGACTGCAACATTTGATTTGATGCTAATCACAAGAAAACTATAGGCAAAGACGCTGATTACAAGAAACTATTAGCATACGCTCTGAAAATTGTGAAAAAATAACTCAAATTGGGTCAAATGGTTAACCCAGGTCTATTGGGTGCTGATCTAATGCTGGGTTATTGATAGCGGGTGTATTGGGTTGAGGATTTGACCCAGCATGATGGGTTGGCTTTTAAGTGTGTCGGGTTTTTAGGGTGTCCCCCCCAAGGAACTCTTTTCCCATATAACCGTGTATTTGATTGTAAAGTGCAGTTTCATGTATACATCCACAATCCTTTGAAAGGTTGGAAAACACATTCTCGTGCTACTGAATTAGAAACTGTAGATCAAGAAACCAATTGTCAAGAGGCTGTGCCAATTCAAACACAAGACACCATCGACCTGCAAAGTAAGAAGTTTCTCATTGTTTCTGAACTCTGTGTTACTGTCCAAGCATTGTCTTGTACAAGCACTTCAACACCTGCTGTATGTACTGCCTCTTTATGCAAGAGAGACTTTTTAAGAATCTCCAGGAAGCTGAAGGTACACAACTTGGTCAACATTTGCCATAACACCTGCAAACTCCCACTGATACTGATGTTTACAGGTTTTGAGCTTTAGCTGTACTGTTTCTGCACTTGTTTAAAAATATTTATATATGTTTTGTTTTTTTTTTGTTTTGTTTTTTTTTTTTTTTACTGTGGACATTTAAAATGAGATATTTACTAAGTTGCAATGAACATATTTACACTCTTTGCAAAACAGGGTTGAAAAGGGATTCTATATTTGTATTTAGTAAAATGACATGCTCATATACTCCCAACTATTGTACTTTTTTCTTTTTCTTTTTTTCTTTTTGGAAGTGGTGTTTGTGTGTACTCTGCGTTAACGCCGTGAATAAGGTGCTGTTTTTCAACAAGTCCGAGCACACTCCATGTTCATAATTAGGAAAGAAGGAATGTAGGACGTGTGCCTTCTCAGGTTGAGACAAAGCCACTGCTAGATACTGCCATGATATTTTACAAGGAGTAAACCGAGCTTTACGGTGTTCTCGTGATGTCAAGTTTCAAGAATTTAACTGTAGAAGCTCACAATTGAGTTGAATACAAATTCTTGGATATGTTTTATTCATCCAGTTGGACCCCCAAAAGCTCATGTCAATATGTGCCTCTCTGAATTGTGACGCAGCCCATCAAGGAGTTGTGCATTTTGTGATTGTCTTCACTTTGATTTCGTCTTCCGTATTTTCACAGTGAAGACCGTCAATTTGCCAATGTTGCCTGTCAACGATAGCTCGTAGCAAGCCTGTCTTAAATGTGCATCCGATGTTTGATTGTGTCTGTTGGGATGAAATTACAGCTTTATCTAGGCTCAAAGAGAATCATGTTCCGAGTTCTTTTTTTTCCCACCTATACTGTAAAAATACTTTTGAGCGAGTTTTCCCAAAGAGACAACACAATTATCGAATTAAATGTATCTTGTTGCTCAAAAAGCTTTGTGTGTTTTTGTGTCAAGTGTTATCTGACATCATTCCCGCTGGGCACCAGGTGACGCGCCGTCATGTGAACATGTCAGCATATACAGTACTGCGAACATTAAGAAGTAGTTTCTAATTCATTCATTTATTAAATTTATTCAAACCTGGAGTGAGATGGATGATGATTGGCAAAAAGTGCGTTTTCACCTTGCAGCCATGAAAATAAATCAAATAGAATAATTGATCAACATTTTACCATCAAAGATAGAGTGACACTATTGTGCCCCATGATCCACATATAAAGCATTTTATGAACACATCTACATTGCAAAATGTAATAAGATGACTTTGAAAAAAAAAATATAGATGTAAAATTGCTGCGTTAAAACAATTCATAGAACTGATGAATTTATTGTGAGTGTGCTGTACTCAAATGAACAAATAAACGATATCAGAGTACAGTATTGCAGGCTTCCTGTGCTTAAAGCCATGGCTCTCGGATAAGTAAATTGGACTTCAGGAGCTGAGTAAGCTTAATATCGTTTCATGTTTTCAAAAATGAAATGTGTACATACTATATTTTACAAGGCAATGGTACATCTGTAGATAATGGTACTAATACATGGGGATTTGTTTTCCTATGGGTGTTAAAAAGCATTGGAAAATACCAGATCAGATTGCAGCCGAACAAAATATTCTCGTTGTCGTTAATTCTGCTGAGGATACAAGCGCAGGAACATGCATGCGAAACAGTGGGCCTTTTCTCGTGAAAGGTCACGCCGAGATTTGAGTGACAGCTTTAAGTCCTCCGATTACAATTTGCCGCAGAGGCGTCCATGGTTTACCCTCTTTTCCTGGGACGGCTGGAAGCGCATGGAAGTGATTCATTGAAATGAATCACTGGACAAATCTGCTTGTCGTGTGTTCGCTAATGATTTCTCACTTGAGGAGGTCTGGGCACACAAAATGGAAGGATTGCTCCACAATACGACTATGTTGGGAAGATGCAAGTTTGTATTCGTACTGCTGTCAAGGTGCCCTTGAGCAAGGCACCAAGACTCCGTCCCAAACCACAATTTAGGAGTCTAAAGACTGTTCACAGACTGTCTTGTCTTGTCTTCTTGTGCGTGTCATCTGTCTACCTGTGGTGTGTGCAACAAAATAGATCAAACATGCAGTCTTTAACATTGTAGTCATACTTTCAATACAGCTGAACTCACTGGTGTTGTCCTATTTCAAAGCCGCTCCTTCTGTCACCCTTCCAACAAACATCACTTCAAGAGTGCTCTGAATGGCAGAGAGGAGGATGTTGTAACAAACTGTATGTCACATTCAGTTCTCATGAATGAGCTGCTGAGATACGATTCAGTCACTTGATCGATCTTTTGTCTTTTCCTCATATCGCCACTGACAAATTCCCTCTCACCATCACTTAGGATGACAGGCCCGGGGCAGGCTGTGGTATTTTGTTGTGTGGACCAGCTTTGAACTGCCCTTTGCTTCAGACACCCTCACTCAAGCCCCCTTTTCCTGTTCTTTGTGTTCCGTATTATGTGGAGAGTGAAGACAGAAGGCAGTGGTGAGACAAAAAGCAAAATAGAGCAGGAACGTATTTTTTATTTAAGAAGGTCACTGAATGCCCGCAGTGCCTGATCTTCTGCTGAACTCTGATCTCAAGCTGGCATTTTCCACTATTCAAATGAAGCAGAAATATGCATCCTTTTGAAAATATGCCTGTGGACGATGGAATCTCTCTCTCTCTCTTTCTCTCTCTCTCTCTCTCTCTCTCTCTCTCTCTCTCTCTGCTCCGGCCTTCCTGTGTGGAGTTTGCATGTTCTCCCCGTGCCTGCGTGGGTTTTCTCCGGGTACTCTGGTTTCCTCCCACATTCCAAAAACATGCATGGCAGGCTGATTGAACACTCTAAATTGTCCCGAGGTGTGAGTGTGAGCGCGGATGGTTGTTCGTCCCCGTGTGCCCTGCAAATGACTGGCAACCGATTCAGGTCCCCCGCCTACTGCCCCAAGACAGCTGGGATAGGCTCCAGCACCTATATATGTATATATATATATATATATAGAGAGAGAGAGAGAGAGAGAGAGAGAGAGAGAGAGAGAGAGAGAGAGAGAGAGAGAGACACACGCACACACGCACGCACGCACGCACACACACGTACATGCACGAACATAAACAAAACCGATAATTTCATAGCTGTCTATTCGCGCCATTCAAGCATTTTTAAAATATATTTGATATTCTTGAGCTACGCTAGTAACCTCTTTGTTCTCTCTAGTAAGACAGTGTAGAACAACTGCGTCTGTTTCTTCACAACTGCCTTTTACGACCATGTGGCTATTTCTAGAAACTTGTCATACAACTGAAATACCAGTCGGACAACATGTTTGTTACTAGTGAGGCAAAACTACTAATAGGCATTTTGGTGTGGCCTCGTAATGTGACTAAAGGAGAAAAGTAGTTTATTAGTAAGAGTTAATTGCATCCTGGGAGGCAACATTGTCACTGGTAGCCATTTTTCTAGTGCTCCCTAGTTGTTCTCCTAGTGCACTGAGTTGTCATACTACTGAAGACAAAGAGTACATGGACCTTAACCAGGACATCGAGGATAACGAATAATGTTCAAACGTATTTCACAAACTGGTATTTAACAATGCTCTAGTCTACTTGTATCGAAGCATTTTTGTCGGAGGCTTGCAAGTGCCATGATAGAACTCAAGCGACATCTGCTGTTCATATTTGTCAGTGCACAAACAGTCCAAGTCCACCAACCTCATGTTCAAAATTGAATTCGTTTTTAATTAGATTAAGAATTGTACAATGCATCATCTGTGTTTCCATCTAACACCAGACGTCACACGCGTCCATTTATACAAGAGGTCCAAGTTTCAATGAACAACATGGGACATTTCAAGGTTACAAACGTCACGCATCTTAAACATGTATGTCGTCACATGGGGCACGCTCAGTTTGGCGTGTATTTAGAGTCATTTAGAGACCGCAATGCAAACCAACAGCAAACATTTCTAAGACTATCATCAACCAAAATGTGATTTCAGTAAAACTCTCTGATTTCTGAAGCGAAGATTAAGTCCTTAAAATCCTTCTTGAGTATTGTTGTCTCACAAGTGAATCAAATCAACAAATTGTATTGTGATCGATAAGAAAATCAGTCAACATTTCAAATAACTTCGACGGGTTTAATACTCACATCTTGGTGGTGAAAACCTTAACCCCATGCCACTGTCCACTACATGGAGCCTGACAACAAAAGACGTAAGAAGACAAAGACCTGCAGATAGAGGCAGCAGCGCTACTGGAGCTGGCAAGAGCTATTTTGGCCCCCGCTAAACACATTTACTGTCACCATAAAAATGGTCGAAAAACCGTTTTCCTCTTCCCTTGGTCTATATATATATATATATA